GTGCCGGGGTGGTGATGATGGCTTGTGGCGAAACGATAAACGCTTCTGCATCGCGGCTTTTGTGTCGCTGGATGTTGGCGGGATTTCTTGCTGGACTCCCAAGCCTCTTGCAACAATATTTAGCCTTCTCTTCTGGTTGTTTGTTTTTAATTAAATTGCTATGTGAAACAGTAACTCGGGACTGGTGAATCAATCCATCTATTTATCACTAGGGAAACTGTCTCAACTTAAAAAAGCTCTGAAGCGGCCTTTGCACTATATGGTGTGGTTTTTAAATTGTAATTCATATGGCTTAAAAGAGATGCTTGTAATGGAAAGCACATTTGTATTTTCTGCTTAATAAACAGGTTCATCAGATTTCCTGTTTCTTTTCACTCTAGAGGTGATTGCATTTAAAAGTATGCGCACAATTTCTTCATATCCAACGCCTAAAATCCTGTAATTAGCGAATGCCTAAATATAGCGGGAATGAGGTGGAAAGAAAAGTCTGATACAGTCCTTTAAATTCATCTTTTCTCCCCAGATATGGCAGTCTGCTTTAAGCACCCTGAATCCAAACCCCACCGACAGCTGTCCTCTCTACCTGAATTACGCCACTGTGGCCGCTTTGCCTTCCAGGGTCAGCCGACACAATAGTCCATCTGCAGCTCAGTTCATCACCCGGCTGGTTAGAAATTGCCTTCCAGGAGGTGTCAACCGATGTATTGTTGTAAGTGGCTGTCTGAAAATGCTTCTGGTGAAATGTCTAGTCAAGTAATTTCTTGACTTTTTGGATTTTAGCTGTATCCAAGGAGACTGGAGGTTGGCAAGTTTTACAGATATAATTATACTGACATTTATAAGTGGTTTTGCACTGACGCGTAAACAAGACTTAACTATAATAGCTTATGCATGCGCAAGCAGCTGTAGGGAATTAAGGTTGGATACGTATGGAACATCTTCAACTAGGAATATCCATGCAAAGGGAACCAGTAGTGGCTTTTTTTCGAACTAGGCTTTATGGCATTAGCTCGTGCTTTAGAAGATTGACGTAGCCTGCGTGCAGGCTGCAATATCTGTATTGCATAACCCATTTAAGGTGCCTTGTTTGTGCTATTCAATTACTTTTAAAAGTCTTAAGGCAAACCAATGCTCCAACGCGAGTCCTTTGCAGGACAAGCTCTTGGCCTGCTTTGGTCATCTGTCTGAGCCTGATGAATTTGTTTTTTGTTTGTATGGCTTCTCCAGAGTAATTCAGATTTCTAGGTTGTTAGAGAAGAGTCATGTAGTCAGGTTTAGTATCAAAATCTAATTATACTCTTCACTTGGAATACTTATTTGCAAGAGTAATAACTCTACTTCATTTTTTTCCCTTATAGTTAACTTTGAAAATGTTTAGCTAAAACTGTTTTCCATTGGTAATTTCTGTAATGAACTTCAGAACAATATTCTACATGTTAAAAAGCTTGGGGGTTAATTTTAGCCACATTCTCATATCATTTCTCTCTTTGTTTCATTTGTTTTGAATGCATATCGATGTTTTTTTTTTTTTGTAGGCTGTGTAGGCTAACCTATGTTAATTGCACTAGTATAATTAAAGCAGTCCAGCTCCCTTATGAGGATGTACTAATTCCCACACAGTCAAGTCCAGCAGTGTAATTCATTTCCGTATGGGAAACGAACTGAACCAGTTCAGTGTGCTCTTCGTACTGCCATCCATCCATGCAAAACATGACATATAGTATGTCTTGATTCAGACATCAGCTATTTCCCACCCACTCTCTTTTTTTCCCCCCCTCTTCACCAATAATATCACAGGTAACGGATCCTTTTAATTGCAGTCTTCCACATGCCGAATGTTCTCTCACTTGCTTGTCTTCTGGCTGGTGTTTCAGATGGTCTGCGAGCGGTCTGAAGTCTTCGCTTCTGCTTGTGCATTGGCCAGGGCTTTCCCGTTGTTCACACATCGGTCCAGTGCATCAAGACGCACAGAGAAGAAAACTGTAACGGTAGAGTTTTTCCTGGTTGGACAAAACAATGGACCAATAGAAGTGGCAACGCTGAAAGTAAGATTTTGGGGTTTTCTGTCTTCAGTTTTTTCCATTATTGCCTGAAATAGTTTGTGGGTTTTTTTTCTTCAATTTATTGCACGCACAAATACTGTCTGTCTCAGGCTACATATGGAATAGGTGTTGCATCTGAAGTAATAAATTATCCTAGGTCAGAGTTCCTTGAAATTGATCAGTTTGCAGCACCGATGGGTAGAAATATTGAACATATTACTGCAGCAAAGGCTGAAGATGTTCTTCAGAATTTAGATTTTAGGGGTGGAAAACACCAAACAAGTAGCACAAAGACTTTTTCTCTTTTCTCATGTTTATCATAGATGCAAATAGCGCATTTTTGGCCTTTAATGTTACATTGCTTTTGGTGTGTGGGCTTCTCTCTCTCTTTTAGCCAGGCAAAATCTGAATATGTCTATGCAGATGAATATTGCAGTGAAGTCACTAAAAGTTGCTTATTCGGGGACCACATATGGCCTCTGATGCTTCTGTCTGATGTACCTCTTTGGCTGAGGTTATCTAGCAGAACTGTAGCCAGAACCAAGACCCTAAGAAAATACACACTGTGGAGATGATCCGTACATAACGGTTAAATATGTCTAAGTCATCTTCCAATAGCAGATGATCAAAGACTGTTTCCCTTACACCTGACTATTACAGAGAGGAAACTCCATATCACGTAACTTTTAGTATGTTAGGTCATTCTTCTTCAAGGTCCTAACTTAAGAGCTATTCCAAGGTTTGCGCTTAAGCTGTTAGGCAACGTCCCATTCAGTGCTCCAGGTTCTGTGCTTCAGTACAGATGGACACTCACTTGGCTGATCAGTCAGTGAGGTTATACAAATCCCTTAAAAATGTTGGCAATGGATTTGACAAAGGATATGGTGTTGCTGCATCTGAAATACAGAGAATTATAGATTTACGGTATTTTTTTTACTTTCAGTATCTTTTCCTCCATACTTTTTCCTTACTCTATGAACGGATTTGGCCACAGCAAATGATGCCAGACCAGTTTTCAGGAAAGTGACAAAGACAGACGCGCTACAAGTACAACTGTTGATCACTTGATTTTTTCCATGCCCCAAATCAGAAAAAACATAACTGGTGTCAAAAATATTGCTTCAGATAGGTAGATTCCAAACCACTTGGATTATTTGTAACTGAAAAAGAAAGCTGAAATTATTTCTACCTTCTGTTTTTCTCCTTGATGTCAGTGCCAGAACTATTACTGGCTTCCTCCAAGCTAAATTTTTACCCCTTTCACCAGCACCAGACAGTTAATGTAGAGCATGGAAAGAGGCATGTGATGGGATTTTTTTTTTTTAGTGAAACCTCTCCCTTGGCCTATTGCTGTATTTTGCACCTACTGCATTGTCCAGGATATTTTGTGGTGAGGACTAGCAGGGATTGTCATAGTTTTACAAAGCACTTATTAAAGGCTGACATTATCCAGGTTCTCTTGAGTACTCTGGAAGCCAAACTCAGGCACAGCTTATTTCTGTAAGTCATATTGTTTCCCTCAGACTTAGCCTTTGGGTTAGAGCACCTCCATTTACCTGCATGGTGAATCACTCCAAACCTAGCTTGGCTCCTGAGGAGGTCCTTTAGGGGAAGTAAAGCAATCAAAAGTAATTGTAGGGAATCGGGCACCATTCCAAAGCAAGCCAAGGTTTATGAGTCTGCTGGGCTACAGAATGTATAGAGTCCTTAGGCCAGCCCAGCCAAGCCAAACTTCAGATACCTCGGCGCGCCTGACTATCCAACACATCACATTCCTTCAAAACCCATCTTGACTCGCCTGTCTGCTGTGTGTGGTCTTCAGTGTAGTGTGGCTACTGGAAAGCTTGGAACAAAGTTTCCTTCCACCTAGTCTTTTTGTTTCAAGCTGTCAATTCACAGGAGTTAAGAGGTGAAGCTTAGTGTCTGGTGGCCTCATTGTCCTTTTTGCCAGGGGGATCCTTCTTTAAGAAAACAGCCTCGGCATGCTCACTGTCTACCATTTTGATTCTGTCCACTCTTGCTTAGATAAGTTTTTACTCAATCCAGGTGAGGGTCAGTCCATTTTGCCACAGGAATGAGGAAACAGATGCATTCGTGTTTTACACAAATAGGAAATATTCTACATTCCCCATGGGCCTGCCATATAGAATGTTTTATGGTGGTAATCTTTACTGCACTCAGCCACTCTGCCTGCCATATATAAACTTTGCGGTTTCCCGTGTTGTGGATTGTGTAATCTCTGCAGTTTCCAACCCGAGCAGCCTACAAGCTCACTGTGATTTCCTGAACTGGCTTCCTCTTATCGTTCTTTCTGCACCTCACATGGCCTTCTTGGTCTCACTTTGATAGTGGAGAAGGTTACTGATTTTGCAATGTCAGTTCACTGTGGGAAGGAATATAGTTGCTTAGAAATTAGAGCACAGGGAAAAATAACTTAAGCTTAACACATACAAAAAATAATGGTTAGCGTGTTTGACGTTATTTAATACTGTACAGCTGCCTGTGATCCATTGCATTTAAGCATTGATGTGCTCCAGAGGAACCACACATCTGGTGTAGGCTGCATAAGACTAAATGCAAAGCTGTGCAGAAAACCAGCCAAACCAAGGCCAGTTCTCAGGTGTCCTCACTTCTTTTCATAGTGTCTGGCAAGTGCTACAGAAGGAGTCAGGCTGGCTGCTCGAATTGTGGACACCCCATGCAATGAGATGAACACAGATAACTTCCTGGAGGTAGGTAATACACCTGATGAGTAAGAGTTACTAATTGTAAGTCTAGACTACAGTAATCAAGAACTAGTGTTGCTATCTCTTAGCAAAACCTGTATGTCAACTAGTGGGAAGCGCATCAAAGAACCTGTCCAAGGATGCTGAGGCTATTTCTTTGGCCTTTAATATTTTGTAGAACTTCAAGTAAGTTGGAAGGAGGCAGAGTGTACAGCCTGGGGTGAGGCGCTGGGAGTCAGAAGACATGAGTTCTTGATTCAGTCATGACACTGGCTTCTTTGCCAGGGCAAATTATGGGACAGAAGTTGACATGTTTCCAAATGAGTTTTATCATGAAAATCTGGAAAGCTGTTGAGAATGAAAGTATTCCTGTCCTATTGCATCATGATCCACTAGAGTGAACAGATGACCTTTACCTCTGAAGATTTCTTTTATTGGTAGAGCTTAAAGGTCAAATTTGTATTTCATGCCATAGTAAGTCAAGGGTGTCTCTGGAATTAGGCCATTGAAAAACCAGCACCGCTCCCAAAACTGTGAATGTTTGTATGTGTATGCATCCAAAAATCACAAAAAACCCTTCAGTGGGTACCCATATGTGTGGAAAGACAGAAGTGTGTCCTTCTGATGACTGACTGACAGTGTCTTTTTTCTTTTAATGATCAAGGAAATCAAAAAAGTTGGCAAGGATCTTGGGATTACTCCTACCATTATTCGAGATGAGGAGCTGAAAGAGAGAGGCTTTGGAGGTATATCTTGTTGAAAATTCAGCTTATTTCCTAGCAGTTAATTGGAATGGTTTGCCATCTCCATTGTAATGTTTTATTTGCATATTTTTGAAACAGTTTTATTGCCCATAGTATTCCAAGATGTTTTACAGAAAATAGCCACAGATTGCTCCCCACAGTCTTTCTTCCCCACAAGTGGTTTCATTCTCTGCTTTCCAGGTATCTATGGAGTTGGCAAGGCAGCTCTGCATCCTCCAGCCCTAGCAGTTCTCAGTCACACTCCAGATGGTGCTACACAGACCATTGCATGGGTGGGAAAAGGTATTGTGTATGACACTGGAGGACTCAGCATTAAAGGAAAGGTACATAAACACTTGTTCTTCTGCTGCCTTTGCTTACAGTATTGTATTCTGATGGAAATAATTCAGTTAACATCTGTAGGAAACCAAAGTATATTTATCTGAGTAAACACTAGGTCTGCTGTCATCCATATGGACACAGACTATCAGGGGAGAAGACCAAATAGGATTCAAGGAACACTTTACAAAGCAGTTAAATAGTGACCTGATATTTTACCCTTTTAGTATTGCCCACTGCTAGGAGAAGCTAGAAACAGCAATGTTTAATTTCTGATTTTGGAGACAGATCCAAACCCCACTTGAGTTGGCCTCAGTGCAAATCTTGTAAACAATCTTCTTCTCTTTTTCTTTTCTAACAAATTAGCAGCAGAGGTTTAGTATTTTCCAGTTCAAAGGCAAGATCCACCAATACGCAGATGCACGTGTTCTGTGTTTCTGTTAGGGCTGAGCTCTGTCAAGACCAGAGTTACAGAAGCATCAGAAATACTAGTTTTAGCAGGCATTATTGTGAAATTCTCCTTTAAAGAAAAAAAAATGCTGTGGTTCTGTTTAAACAGACTACTATGCCTGGAATGAAACGAGACTGTGGTGGAGCAGCTGCTATTTTGGGTGCCTTCAAAGCCACTGTAAAGCAAGTAAGTAAAATGTGTTAATTGATATCATGTAGCCCAGTATTGCCAAGGAGCAGTCTGACTTTTGGATATATTCCCAGATACAGGGGCAAATCTAATCCTGAAGTTCTGACCTGCCACTGCTATTAGTGATCTTGAGCCACTCTGCTCTTTCTGCTATTTCAGGAAAATATTTCAAGTCTTTACTGGGATCTTGAGAATTGTGAGAAATTCCTTGAGTGCTAATTTTTTTTTAAGAGTCTTTCTTGAATTTCAGGGTTTTTTCTGCAGACTGAGTGGTTTCTAGTTCCTTGAATCAGATTTATACTTGAGTTATCCAGTGCTGATTTTGTTTAAGCTGTGGGATTTGGGACAGCTGTCGTCCCCTTAGCAAAGAAGGGGTTGAGTGACTGGGGGATACGAAGCCTGTCCATATTCCAAATCCTGTGCCAGTTCTAATATTAACCTACTGGGGAAGTGGCAGCTCTAGTCTCATCAGGAGCTGCTTGTTGGTTTGCCTCTGTGGTCAGAAAGTAGTAGGGGAGCTGAGAGGAAGCCAGGTATTGAAATACGAAGAATTAAAAAAATGCATATTGCTCTTTAACAATATGAACTGAGGAAAAGAAGTGGCTGGTGCCAATAAAACTCTGCCCTCTCCACAAATCCAGTGAATGAGTCTTGCTGACAGAGCAGCTATTGCCTCTAAGGAGTATCCAAAGTTCAAAGAACATTTACTGCTGCAGATTAATGCATAGATCTGACGGAAGCTTTGTTCAGGGGATGATCAGTGCCAAATTCCCATTTCTCAACAGTTTAGCTCTGTGCCTTGGCCCTAACAGCGTGTTTGATGTGGAAAGGTTGTAAACTTCACAGTTATCTGCAGAGACTTAAAATTGAAAACAGATTTGTGAGCTGCATCTTAGGCAAAACAGCCAGCTTTCCGTAACCAAGTCCTTCAGAAAGTTAGATCTCATGTTTGCAAAGGACAAGAGCTAGCTCACTTAAACAGTGCTTCGAGGGAAAGCAGTGGATATTGGTACCTTCTTTTGGTGTTTCAGTCCTTGTTTCTGAAGTAGTTTTGTGTGTGATTATCTGCACTGAGAGAAGTTGCATTCACAGTCACAGTAGGTGTGAACATCAGTGATCTGTCATTTCATACGCAGTTATTGTAACAATGAATAAACTGGCAGTAAAATGTTCAGGCTAACTGAGCCTGAAGAAGCTGTTGTACCTCGCAAGAAATCCGTGCCTTTATATACAAAAGAATGGTCTCACTGCTTAATTTTACAACCTCATGTAAGAAGACCTGTTAATGAAATCCCTACAGAAAATGTATTCAGATAGGCAGTAGAAAGAATTTGTCGTTACCATTTCAAGTTGTTACTAAATGCTCTTAAGAATAACATAAAGCTGGAAGACGTTTAAATTAGCAATGCTTTGTCACAGAGTCTGAAGTTGGAAATGTGTGTTGGATAGAAAGCTCCGTGGGAAGAGGGGCAGAGGTTATTATCCATCTTCAGAAAATATCTGCCTACACGCTGTTCCAACAGTTCTACAGTGTGATTTAAAAAGGCTTTGGATAGCAAAATTAAGCAAGTGATTTTTTCCTAGAAAGATGCATTTCATCCATTGTGAGCTTTCCAGCACAAGAAAGAAGAGAACAATATTCACTTAAATTGTTGAAATCCTTCTTGATCCTGCATGTTAACATAAGGAATCCTGCTTTTAAAGAGCTACAGACAGAATGAGATTCGAGAAGAGGCAACTGATACTGGAAGTTGGGTATTCAGTTTTTGACAGTAGATTAACCACATCTTCCTTAGGAAAGAAAATTTGGAGGAGAAAAATTTGGCACAGTCCAGTGAGAGACTGTGAACAGAGTGGGGGTTTTGCTGCAGAGACCATTTTGGAAGAAAAGAGGGTCACAGATGGGAGGTTATCTCATCAGCAATGCTGTTTGCCCACTGGCTGGGCTAGAAACTACAAAGTTACTTCATGGCTTCTAGATGCTGCCCATTATTTTGAAAGGTTTTGATTGATGCATTTGCCCTTTAGACTTCAGAACATGAGCTGATTCAGCAAGTTCAGATTTCTTCAGCTATGGACTTTTATCAAGAGATTAACAGTAAAACTGACCCTGGTTTCCCTAGGAATATGTTTTTAAGGCTAGCTATCCCAGCTGAGGAAGTGCTATGTTTTTGTTTGTTAAATGCTGCTGTCTCCCTTTCTGTTCCTAGGATCCCTTCCCCGTTTGTCTGTCACATGCATGTAGGCTTTTATTCACTCTCCAGTGAGAACTCTAAAATCAGTATTAGATGTTACCTCCTTGGCTGCTTTCTATAGCTCTTGGCCTCAGCTTCAAGACATCCCTCACAGATTTCCCATGTAATTAGTGGCATCGCTGTCGAGAAGTCATAATCCCTCATTGATTTCAGTCCCAATAAATTAGCTTGATGTGAATCAAAAGCCATTTCTCTCCTATTGTTGTTACAGGGTTTTAAAGACAATCTTCATGCTGTTTTTTGTCTGGCCGAGAATGCAGTCGGACCACGTGCAACAAGACCTGATGACATCCATGTTCTTTACTCTGGAAAGTAAGATTCTGTTTTCACAGAAACATTGAGAGGAAATACCATCTTTGGTTCTATTTATCTGAGTACCATGCAGACTGTGAACCTGTCCCTCGACAGCTTCCCTAGATATTGATAGTAGTATTTCAGACAGCCATAGTAGTGAGTTTTAAGTGTGCTTAGAGTTTCCTGTTGGATATGCAAATACACATCAAAATACATATCATACATCATGAGCTGAAGTTTCCTTGAAGCACTCAGGTTTAGGCTTTTTTTTCCAGTACAACCACAGTTTTCTGTGTCCATCTGTAGCCTATGTCTCAGTCACAGAGGCAGGCTACCAGTATATAAGAATCTCTTCTTGTTTGGAGCAGAATATGATACCTCTTTGTATGGCAGCAATTTGTAAAATCCCAGCTCAACATGCTAGGCATTATTCAGGGCCAACAAGTAGACCCAACCATGAGGACAGTAATATTATAACCCTTTTCCATGTGTGCTCTGTCTGGATGCTTGCAGCTTGGGAATAAGCAGCCATACAGACTTGTAGAGTCAAATAAGAAAGCACATTAGGTTTGAGTCTGCTTTCCCATCCAGTATTCTAGCCCAGACAAATGAGTCTTAACTTCCAGCCTGAAGCACTGTTGTATTAAATGCCCTCTCTTCTTCCTAGAACTGTGGAAATCAATAACACTGATGCAGAAGGTAGACTGATACTGGCTGATGGAGTAGCTTATGCATGCAAAGATCTTGGAGCTGATATCATTCTCGACATGGCCACTCTTACGGGAGCTCAGGTACCGATACAGAACTGCTAAGTGGACAGGGGGTGTACCCTTCTACTGTCTGCACTTCAAACACTTCTCTGCCTCTGTCCTGCTAGTCTTTGGTGGATGGTTGATCCTGTGAACGATCGTGACTGATGGTGGCTTCCAAAACTTGTGCAAGAGAAAGTTGCCAACAGCAACCCCAGTAAACTGTAATCCTCTGCGCACACGACATGCGCTGTGAATGTGTTGCATTTATAACTGTGTTACTCAAGCAGGTTTTTTTTGTTTTTATGCAACTTTTATGCTTTTGCATACTTAAAGAAAAAATGGAGTTCTTCTGATGACATTAGCAGCTGATGTAAGCAATCCAGTATCCCGTGTTTGCAATTCAGTAGCTTTATAATTGTCAAAACTGACTTGATGATCGTGATTAGAAATTTTCTTGTCCATAAAATGGCTCACGTTGTAAGTCATATACACAATGACACAAAGGTACCAATTTAATGCTATTGTTTTTTGATATCTATTCCTGTTTTGTAGAAGGTTATAGTGATGAGCAGTGATTCTTGTGGTTTAATTTTCTAGAAAATGAATTGGTCTTCATATCAGGAGGAGAAACGGTGGCAAAGTTTACAAGCATGAATGTTGCATATGTTGGTGTAAACATCAATCCTTTGGAAGTTTCCCATCGTTGTCCTACTGGAGAACTGTTGTGATGGTGGCTTCTGGGTTTTGTGTATTTGGAAGGAGGCAACCTTTCCAGTCAATGAGGATGTTACGTTCAGACTGTTTGTGTGATTGGCACACATTGCTGGGGTATCCTCTGTGTGCGTTAGATGTTTTATTTATAATTCATTGCTGATTTAATTTTGTTTCTAAGGATAAATAATTGTAAAGCTTGCTCAGTAACTATAAAGAAATATTTTTGTGGGACATGGGACAGTGGTTTGAATAGGCCAGACAAATGCAGACTATTTCAGTGCAGAATGGATTTGCAGAAATTTTAAAAGATTCGTGAGTAGCTACAGTGTCTTTGTCTACATTTCTAACACTGCCTTCTTGTGGAGTAGCTTTGAGACATGGGTTTTTTGGTGGTTTTGTTAGATGGAAAGCAGCTGTTAAGGCTGAGAGGGAGTATTACAGAATTATCCTACCCAGCACAGTTAGGATGAATCCTTCCTGATTTTGTCTTATATCTCACTAGGGAGTTGCTACAGGAAAGTATCATGCTGCTGTTCTTACCAATAATGAAGAGTGGGAAAAGGCTTGCGTTAAAGCCGGCAGGAACTGTGGAGACTTGGTCCATCCTCTTGTGTATTGCCCTGAGCTCCACTTCAGTGAATTTACCTCTGCTGTAGCTGATATGAAGAACTCGGTGGCAGTAAGATTTTTTTTTTTCTTCTAAATTTCATTTATTACATAAAAATGTGTGGTTTCTAGATAATGTGCTGGCCTCTTGATAGCTGGCTGAAAGCCCTTCATGTGGGCTGTAATCTTTTACAAATAGGCCATATGGTTCGGGTCTTCAGGGTCTTTAACCTGGGGATTTTGCAGGCTGTGTGTCACTACACTGATACTTAGCATCAATTTTAAACAGGTTCGCTTGCTGCAAAGGTATCTTTAGGCTGCTTGCCTTTCAGGCATGGCCCTGAGATGAATGCTAAGTTCCTGGATGGAGACCGTTTAAGAAGTAAAGATGAGTATTCCTTAGATCATAATAACCAACAGAGACGGTAACTGGGAATGCAGAAGCCAGGAAATTGAGGACAGGGGCCTCGGGAATTGCTGCAGCTGCTTTTGCTGTGTTTGAAAGTTACAGTGTGCACTAAGTTCCAAAAACACTGCAGAAAGAACCTTGGGCAGAAGAGGAATTGAGCAGGGCCAGACTGCTACCAGGGATTAAGTCAAAGGATTTACAGTGTAGCTGGTTTGCAAGACTGTGTTTAGGGCCATTCATTAAACTCTGAACTAGATTTGCACAACTGTCTTTTCTGTAGGCAAGAAAAAAACATTGACCTTTTCTTTTCTTGCAAGACTGACTGTATTTTTATTATTTCTACAGGACCGGGACAATACTCCAAGCTCCTGTGCTGGGCTCTTCATTGCTTCTCACATTGGCTTCGACTGGCCTGGAGTCTGGGTCCATATAGACATTGCTGCACCTGTCCATGCAGTGAGTATGTTTGTATGACTTCGGACATTTTCCTGGGCGAGCAAGCTGGGTAAAGAAAACTGCTTGTGCCTGCAGATACTCTAAATTCTGTGCCATCAGGTTCAAAGCTAGAGAATTAGGTGGAGAAGAGTTCTTTTGAAAAGTATTGACTCTCCATCTGTGTTGGGAATGTCTTTGTTTTGGTAGCTTCATCAGTTCATATTTTTCATTTTGGTTTTAAAATACTGTAATGGTCACTTTAATCAGCATCATATTTATCATTGCAAACTTTGACAACTTGCCTGCTTTCTGTTCGTGGCAATGATCCTGGCCTTCCATTTTCACTTGTACTGCTTTAAGATGATTGACCAAAGTTGATCGTCCTGCCTGCTGACCTGCAGCAGAGAAAATTTGTTTCCTTTTGGGGGTTTCTCCTCCTCTCTTTGATGGTATTTGTGTATATTCTTTTTTCTTACAAAACAAGCCAATTTACTCCCCCATCTCCTTTTTTTTTTAAACCCAATTTACTCAGCTCATACTCCAAATCCATGCTCATGCTGGATGGAACATTCCCTGCCCTGAACAATGCTTGTCTAAATCCACTCTCGAGTCAGTGTGAGCTCTGTTCTCGTGTGAATCAACCCATGTGTTGGTTTAATCTAACTGGGACAGATTCCACTAGCAGTATGGATACAGAAGCACAAGCTGGGCAGGCCTGCCAGGGACCCTGAGTATTTGCTGTGGCCATGCGCTGTCACTGCTCTTGAGTGAGTAGGTAAATTAAAACTAGATTCAAATTATACAATCTGAAGTGTGAATTGTTGTATGTGTTTTTTTTTTTTTTTTCCCTAGGGTGAACGAGCTACTGGCTATGGTGTGGCTTTGTTGCTGTCCCTGTTTGGAGGGGCATCTGAAGACCCGTTGCTAAACATGGTGTCCCCTCTAGGGTGCAATGGAGACTCTCCCTCTGAAGATATGGAGAGGGATTCCAAAAGGCGGCGCCTGGTTTAACGCACCCCCAGCCCTAAGTGACGGGGTGCATGGGTTACCTCACTTTGCACTGATTCATTCTCAAGCAATGAAAATGTCAAACATCAGAAATTGCCATTTTTTTTACTATCATGATAAGATTTATTACTTGTTTCTGATAAAACCAGCCTGATTTCTTTTTTTTTTTTTTTTTAAATTATTGGTGCACACAGTTGCTGAACAATATCAGTGGTGCAGAGTCCAGGCTCAACTAACTGTATCAGGAAGAGGGCACATCCTCCTCTGAGCTCCTCACAAGACCTAACTAAGTGCATTAATGCATGAGAAGCTCTCCCTAGTCTGAAGAAGCAACTGCAGCTACTGCTTACAAAGCCTTCTGAATTACTTATTATATGTGAGGTTTTATCAGACATTTCTGCAGGCCCCACTACATCTCTGAACACAGGACAAGTGAAAAAAATGCTGTAGACTTGGCTTATTCAGTGACAATTTAGCTTAGCAGCAAAAGAGATGTAATGAGAAGAGGCCTATAGTTTTAATAAGGTGCTGTTTCCGCATGTTTAATGATTTTCTGACCAGTAAAATCAGCAAGAATGGTCCAGAACATATCTCTACATAAATCTTTCACATACAAATTACAGAATGTATTCATGTTAAATGAGGAAAAAAATAGAGGGACTGTGATTGAGTAAAATCGGTTTACAAATCACAGTGGCTTCTTGCCACTTAATAAATTTATTATTATTAAAGCAGCTTACGTACCCCATGTGCTGTTTCATGATGTTATTTACATTTCTGAGAACACAGAGTGCTCCAAAAGTTTGTGCGTGACATCATTACTCTGTTCAAATTCCTTTTCCCAGCACTCATACATCTGAAAGCAGAACTAATAGAGCAGCAGCCGATACGGAATGGTTTGGGGCAGTTTTGAAGAACTTAGGCTGATTCACTTAACTTGATTGATTCATCTGTAATCAGGGATGCGTTGTATTAGTTTCTGTATAAGGGAGTCACAAGGAGCGTAGAAGCACTGGTTTGGCTTGGGCATCCACAGAAAATGTCTTGCCCCAATTCGTGTAATGTCAGCGGCGGAGTTGGGAACGGAGTGACCAAGTTCTAATCAGTGCTGCTCCCTTCCTGGTGGTTCAGGCATCAGCCTTTGGAAACATTTCTTGGCTCAACCAGAGCATTGATGGTGAAAAATCCCACCCAGCACACACTTTTGGCTGCTTTGCAGATAAAGTCAAGCCGAGTTGTGATGAATTACACCTTTCCCTGTGTCGGAGGTGATCTCTGGAGAGCACTGGTGCTAGGTTTTAGGTGGAGTTCCAACAATGAGGTACACATCTGGTTTAGGCATGAGTTGATTTGATTAAAGACCTCATGGAAAGCTTAACACAGAAGGGAGGAGGAACAACATTTTTCGTTTTGGTTTTGTGGCTATATTTGATTCTTGGGCAGAATGTAACTTTTTATTTTGTTTGTTTTATAAAACCCCCTGAACTTCATTACTTCCTATATTTGCTTCTCCCTTGCTGTTTTGGTTCCCTGGTCCACATGGTCATAGTTTTAGGAGATTGATATATAAACAAGTTCTGCCTTTGGTCATTCTAGGCGCTCAGTATACAGTACTATCTGGTACCAAAAACTGTTGTGGGAAATGTGTTGATGAAGTGTTGTTGTCATTACTGACTCAGTCCAACCACTGCAGCTAACGGCAAAATGTTCTAATGTCAGTGCTCTGAAATTGAGTCTTCAGTCTCCATGCTCTAGAAACACTCTTCAAATTAATCAGTTCTAATTTTGAAATTTAGTGGTTTGCCAACATGAGGCAGATTTTTACATAAAAAGTAGCCTGCAGTTTTGTAGCATAAGGCTAAATTCTGATGTTACTCAGAATGCAGCAAGCCCAGATAAAGGAGAAATTAGATTTTGATGACTGATTGTCATACTCTTCGATTTTGCTGTGTCTCAAAGCATATCATTCTGCTGGATTTAATTTGGAAGGCACTTAATAGAAGCCATCTTTAAAAAGAAATATTTAGTATTAAAGAAATATAATATGAAACACCTGAAAAGCAAACAGGGTAAATATTTATGAAATCAAAAACTGAAAACCAGCTTAAGTTTGCTTAAGCAGAGTAAAATAAATCAATCCAACACCTAACAGTAAAAAGGTCTGATGCTTCCTGTGTTTCTGAGATGCAAAATGAAAATCAAGGCTTTTTTTTTTTTTCAATTCCGTAATAAAATCTCTTGCTATTCCCAATGTACATTATTATTTCCTTCTGTTTAGATAAGAGGTCTGTTCTCTAGAGCAGAAGCTTAGGACCTACACAAGACAGTGATTTGTGAGCTGTATTTGCCAAATAAATTATTTTCTCGCTTCTGTATTTCACAGAGCTTGCACTGGGATCATTCCCATTAAGCTCACAGTGTTTCTTAAGCCCCTAACGAGTAGAATTTCAGTTTCTCCAAGACCAGCTTCCACCACCTGCATTTACTTACCTACTTGCAGATGACCGGCAGTTCTAGCTTCTGCTGCAGCATTTGCCCTGAAGCATCTTGGTGTGAGACCTGGAGGCAATCTACAGAAGGGGAGATCCCAAAACTGCCTTAGAAGTAGCAGATACTGGGTGTCAGACATTAGTGCATGGGATAGTTACCAAAGAGAAATGAGCCTGCATCGAGCAGCAAAGCTGCAATTTGGTCCCTGCAGCTGCTGCCCATTTCTGCTAATCACTGTGCAGCCTGAAATGAGCACGTTGCAAAAGCCAGCTGACGTTCTTACGGCCTCTCCGGCCATCCTGACCAAGTGTTCCACAATTACTGACACGTTTAGCTTTACAGTCCCCTCCGTGTGACAAAGCAGCACGATTATTCACAGGAAACAGTTCCAGACACGAGAGGCTGACCTCAGCAGATTTGGGTGACTACACTTGAAGTACCCCCCGCACCACTGAAGCGGCTTTAAACAGAAAGACTCCTACAGCGCTAGGGCCTGGGTCCTCCATGCTGCTGGGTACCCTTGGCCAACCCTTCAAAGGTAACAAAGCAGCACAGGGCTCAGTGAGTTTGCTGAAGATCACCCAATATCTAAGCAGAGAAACTTGGGGGGTCCCAAGCTCCGGGTTCCCACATGCCCTCCTGTTCCTTGGCTGCTTTCTGAGCAACTACAGGAGATGGAGCAGGGTCACTCAGGACCTGATGCCAGGCTCCAGAAGCAGCACAAAACCAGGGATGTACCTCTCCAGGTTGTTTTCTAGAAATTAGAGCTTAAATTACTACAGCTGTGGGCCCAGCACTTTTAAGAAGAGGTTGACAATAAGGCACGAGCTAATATACTCCCCCAGGAGTTCTCCCTTCTCCTCATTTCCTCCTCAGAGCTGTGCTGCCATTACCTGAGGATGGTCCAGGGAAAGCTGGCGTTGGCAGCAGGTGAGTTAGCAAGTCCCTCTGCTATGGCCACCCGGCTCTAGGGGTTGGTGGCCCACAGCAGGGCAGCACTGCTCTTTATCTTGGCAGCAGCAGCATCCTCAGGGCAGCAGTTTGCTGGGAGCTGTGTGGCAGGCTTGGGAGGGGAGGGAAAGGTTGATCTGGTTAAACCAAAGAGGAGTTGGTGTTTTGTGGGATTGTCCCAGACTGATGTGCTCAGTCAGGGAAAAATCTGTGATGGTTTATCTTCAACTTGTAAATGTTACCATAGGGCTGGGCTGCATTTTGTTTGGAGCAAATTAAGCCACCAGCATATTTTACCACATTTTAGCACTACTAAATGCTGTCTGAACTGGGGACCGGGGACAGGCACATCACCAGAGTTTTACTGAGGGCTCAGTCCCTGGAGGAAAGATGGACCTACCCAAAGCACTGCTTAGGGATTAACTCTTGCTGGGCAGTACTGACCCTGGGGCAGCGTTTACATGGCACAGCAGAGGTGAGTGGGCTCCCTCTGAGGCACCGATACAGCACTTAACGGCGTCCCGTGCGCGGCGGGATGCGATGCGTTAGCCGGGTCGAGCACGGTGCCGATGTACCTGCAAGAGCTCTGGTAGAGGAGCGAGTGCAGTGCTGCGCACAAAGACCAGAGCTGTGCTGCGTGCACGTCTTTAAATCATGTGGGGTCTTGCACTTGTGTGTTATACGTATCAGATTCTCAGGCAGCACTTAACTTCATGAGGGGCAGCGGGATTTGTGAGGTTGTTGTACGCTGCTTGAGTAAAAGGGATCAAGGTCCTCTGCTGAGAACTCACAGTGATGAGGACTCCGAAGAGTCTGCCAGGGTGCTCCAAGTGCAGCCTTTATAGCACCAGGGCTAGGGGGAGCCTGAGGAGGTGGATTAGCCTGGTGCCTTAAGAGAAATACAGAGGAAAATAACCTATTCTGGAGGATGCTGTGGTCTGATTGCCAACAGGGGTAAGCCCTCCCTGGTAAACCTGTTTGGGTGTTTGTTTGCAAATACCTCCTGCATCTGGGACAGCATTTACTAACAAAATCTGTAATGTTGGAAGGCAGAAGGAAACTTAAGTAGGACTTGCTGCATCCGCATTTCTCATTCTCCCTTGCCTTTTTTTCTATCATTTTCCTCCCTGCTGCTTTAAACAGGACTGAATAGCCTGCAGTTAATGGGAAGGTTAAAGGACTTTCTCCTGTGTTGTCTCTTAGCTGTTGAGGTTTGAGCTCGTAGTTTTGTGTTGTGCTTCAGTCAGAGGAACCCCTTACCTTGCAGTAACTGCTCCCTGTGAGACTGGGAGACCTCCAGGGGCTGGTTGGTCACCCTGGCCATGGACTGAAGAAGTGGCGTATGCAGCAAGGGAGGCCGCATGGTGCAGATCGGTAGGAGGGTAATGCAGCCCCCCATTCTGCATCTCCCAATCCTTTTCCTCTCCTGCCCCATAGGCTGGGGATATTTCTGCAAAGAAAGAAAGTTTTAGTTAACTTGCTGCAGGTGTTTCAGAAGTTTTTGTGAAAAGCAATTGCACAACAGGAGTTGCTCACCTTCTTGGAGTCTCTCCAGCCTTTCATAATGAAAACGTTAGCATATAAATCGTATCAACGCAGATCCAGCTAGAGAAGCTGAGGGTTGTGTCAGTTCAGGCTCATCTTGGTTCCCTTTGGGTGTGTTGGATTTTACCTGGAGCTTCTGGTTTGAATTCTTCTGGGTAGCTGAGCCACACTGGGTGCCTGGGGGCTTACTGCTTTCTTTGGGTGTGGTATGAGAGTGGGAGGCATGGAAATCCCATCCTGTTTGTAATTTGGACAAAGTAGCTTTTTGAAAAATGGTCTTTGGGACATCAAGACAAGTGCCTGTATTCCAGGAGTATTCTAGGTGAGTCGGGGCAGCTGTTTATCTTCTAGTACCCAGGAACAAAACTATTATTAATCATGTTTGCTACAGCAGTGGCTAGGGACCTGCTAAAAAAGCATCCAGACAAGAAAAGGGTCCTTTTATACAGCACTGCACTGAATCAGAAGCTGCACAAAGCCACACTAGACAAATTGATTTTTTTTTTCTCCATTTGCACGTGTAGGGGATGAAATTAATACATCTCATTCCTCGGTCCCCATTGTGGTTCATGTCCTGGAAATTCTGTTGCCTCACTGTTTGATGACTTCTAGGCTCCAAATGGACAAGTAATAGTTTTCAAAAACTGCACTGCAGGGTTTTTTTTTTTTATTTTTCCCTTTCATGTTTTCTTTCAAACACTTCTCTTACACAAAACCCACAGAGAGAGTTCCAGGCAGTGTCCACCCATATGAAACCAGATGGTTTTTTCCATAATCTTTTTATAGATTTGATAATATTTAACTCAGCATGTATTAAAAATGTATGGAGTACATAAAATTCATTATAAATGTCACCAAATGGGCCAATGGCTTTTTAATATCACTGCCACAAGACTGCATTTTAACCTATTTCCTCTCTGGATCCATTCCAGTGGCAATTCCAGGAGGGGAATATATTTAGTCTGTATTTACTTAGTCTGTTTAACTTTCAGTTAGTGTCTTTGGCTCATCCCGTGGCTGTGCTATTTTGGGATGATTTATACAATATTTACATTAAATTCTGCTAATATTTCCTTGCCTCTTGAAGTCAGATTACACTATTTACATCTCAAAGGCTCAAGCTGGAGGAATAAGCAGCTGTTCCAGGCACCAGAGAGAATTTAGTGTAGGGGAGGCTGCCAGAAATGAGACCGTGTGTCTGAAATACTCATGGAGGAATTATTTAGAATTGGACCAGTCCTCCATGAAGGAAGGGGGAAGGTTTACCATAGCAGTAAGAAACGTGGTTGCTATATAGGGGTCAGACAATAGCATCGAGACGTTGTTTTCATTTTCTGCAAAGAATTTCTGGGGCGCTTTCCATTAATTGCAAATGTCCTGGGCTAAACCACAGCAGGACTCTACTGCGGGCTCCTTTGTGGGTAGGATTGGGCTTGCAGTTTTCATACTCTGTTGTAAAAGCTGAAGGCCACTGCTGTGCTTGCCCCTGAAATAGGGGCTGGTGCGATTGTATCCCTGTCAGAATGTTGCCTAGGACTGGACTGGGCTATAGCTACGCTTGATCCGATAAATTGTCAAACCAAAATAAGTACCAACGCTGAGCCGCATGGTTTCTGTTAAACCTCCTGGTAATGAGCAGAGCACAGGATTTGCTGGAGTGTCTGAAAGAATTTCATTTAAAAAAAAAAAGTGACTACTTAAAAGTAACGGATCATCTCTTATTCAGGCCTCTTGTGATCTACTATGAGAAGTAGGGATGGTGGTGCT